CCTGAAGAAGCATTTTAGAATATTTTGCAGAGGCATTAAGTGAAAAAGTTAAGATGCAGGTTCTCATAGAAGTGTAGGAACAGGTTCCATAACTCACTGTCCTTTAGTTTTAGATGGATTGGAACTGAGATAAGCTCTGATCAGAGGTCTGCACTCAGATCTCACTGCAGGCTCAGAGTGCAGGTCAATGCATACATTTAAATTTAGTGGGAAAATAAATGGTTGATAGGAACATTTGCAAATGGTCACGGTCGGGCTGGAGCAGGCAGATGGGAAAGGAGTAATGGCAGAAAGGCCAGAGGCAAAGGTCATGTATGCTCTTTACCTACAGACATGGATAGCTATAGAAAGGTTTAGCACTCATAATCTGCACACAAGGATATGCCAGCCTTCTCCTCGAGGATGCAGCGCAGTGCTTTTAACAAACCATTTAGCAGAGTGATGGTTGTTTGTGATAACTGTTTAACCCTGAGGGATTTCATTCCATGGTTTCAGCAAGGGTTACAGTAAATCTCAATTTAGGTAAAGTCACAATCTAATTAAACAAATTCAGTCTAAATCCCTGCTGGGCCAGTAAAGATTTGTCTGTCAAATACCTCTAAGCATTTTCGTTTTCTATAGCAACAGTTAATTGGATACGCAACTGTCAGTGTAAATGCTCTAAACGAGGCTGATGGGATTAGTAATTGAATGCTTGGATTAATGGTTTACAGCTGGCTTTGCTACCCTGTTTGATGCTTACAGCTATGTTCATGATAGCTCCTTGCCCTTATCAGGTGTGTGGAGTAGTGGTGTGTAACTGCAATATTAGTTATGATACTACGATACACAGTTACGACACAGATATGATGTGTTAATCAGTGCATTCCTCTTGATATGTATAATTTCCTAATACTATGGGAAGGAAAATTTGATTTGATTATGATCAAAATATTAAAAGCAGAAAACCTGAAAATAACCACCTAACCTCCATAGTTAGGACCAGAGGTCTCAGTCATTTTCCAATGAGATGTATACAATTGTCTTCCACAGAGTCAGAAAGCAAACCTCAGTATTGGGGGGGGTGTGAAATTACAGCCAAGGCTGTGAGTGGAAGCTGACAGAGGGCTTTATTTGTACAAGAGGTGGAGGACTGCAGTCAAAGTGAAAGAGATGAAGTCTGTGCCCTGCCAAAGTGGCTGCTCTTGGAGAAGGAGACCAGACTGCAAAGCTTAGTGAGGTAAAGGCATCTCTTTGGTGATGCTTGAATCACCCATCTCGGTGGGAAGTGAAGCATGGAAGCTTTAAGACTCTGATAGGGAAGTGGTTTCACTGTTCTCTGTGTGACTTTTTAGATCTCACCTCTGTGTTTTCAAAGGCCAAAAGTGTGGTACACTCCCTGGGCTTGTCCCAGAACATCACTGTAAATAAAATGGGTTTGGGGGCCAGCTAACCCATTGTAGGAATTTCTTCATTCTCAAAGCTACCTAGGGTCAGGGAACTTCACTGTTCATTTGCCTTTTAAACTGCAAATTCTGGGATGCTCCTTTTGGAATGAGAAGGAATCTTGCTGTTGGAGTCCAGCTGAGCTATGTAGTGCTTAAGAAAGGAGGCTGTACAGCAAAGTTTCTGTGTCAATAAGATATATAAATAAACTGTAGAGCTGTGCTATGAATTTGTCATTTTGCCTTATATGTAGGCCTCCAAAACCATCCTTAGTGACAGAGAGGCCCTTATACACCATACATTGAAAACTTTGGTTCTTGTTAATTAAGTTCCCTTCAGAATTAAAATGAGCCAGTGCATATTTAGAGCCTATGTTGAACACAGTTTAATAATGCTTATTTCAGTATATTAAATTAGAACATGTTTCTGTTCTTCTAAAGATTCTGTCTTGGGAAACATTATCTGAAGCAGCTAACCATATTGATGTTATAATTACTTGTATTTATGGTACGGTTATAAACAATTATAAAGTAAATTATTATAATTTTTAGAAATAATGACAAAATAATTATTGTAATAATAATTTTGTAGTTATTTGTATTTATTTTATATCATAGTACATATTCATTTACCAGAAAAAAACCCCTCCAGGAAATTCAAAGTTATGCTCTGCATATTTCAGGTCATAGAATATGCCAGGTTCATCTGAGATATGGGAATGGCACTATGACCTTCCCTCATTACCCCAAGATTTAAGCTTAGGTTTTCAGGCAGAACTCCAGCTGCATGCACTTTCGTGTTCAGGAATCATTTTACTCATCAGCTTCTCTCTCCCTCATGATCTGCTCCCATATGTGAACTCCATTTGGTTCAGGAAATCCATTTTTATTTTTGCTTCCTTCTTCTAATTAGAGCCTATTAAAAAGCTGAACTCATCCTTGCCTCAACCCCACCTGGACTATCTTTTTCTTCCTTTTGTTCCTCATGCAGACACATTAGTCTCTTTGACTGGTTTAGGTTCTTCCAACATTCATTGTTCATATTCAGTTTTTGTTATACTTACTCAGTATTCAGACTAATGACGCTACGTTGGATCATACTCTGGAATATGGATGGCCATGTAAAAATGCCAAGGCAATGGTAAAAGCCAGGGAATTAAAAGCAATAATTTTCTTTCCAGGCATCAGGCTTTCCTGCTTTCTGCTTTTATTTATATAAAGCAATACAGCTGTTTCAATAACCTTCTGATGAAGTGACAGTGCTAGAAATGTACTGTAAGAGGGGAATTAGGCGACACTTTCAGAACTTGGACTAAGAGTGAGATGCCCTTTTTCATCTCCCAGCCCAGTAGATTCTAGCTTTAACCTTAGTTTGGATTTGAGATTTAGGAAAGTGAACTTCAGAAAACCTTGCTTGATACACTGGCACATTTTGAGCTGATTTCCTCTGAAATGTTAATTACTGAGAATGTTAGAACACTTTAGTGTTAGAGAGCCCCTAAGTGATGGCATAACTGAAAGTCACAAGATAAGAAATTGCATGACAGCAGATGAAATTAGATCTTATTCTAACTTCACATCTTTTAAATTATAATTATTAAAGAAAGTGCCTGACTGGAGAGGTTTCCAGTTGTAAGGGAAGGAATGAGGACTATTCAGCTTTGCTGTTATTCAGAAAATCAAAGTCTCATCCCCCTACCATGTACATTGCCACATGACTGTTCAGCCTTGGAAGAGACTTACTCCTCCGCTTTTCTTGCCCTCTTTCTTTTGGGTTGCATGCATGTATGTCAGTTAGATGTTTGTATCAAGTACTTCCTTTACAGTATAAATAGATACAAATGGGAATGTTTAGTAGATCAAAACACTTCATTCTGCAAGGTACATACTAGGTCTCCAGAGCTTTGGGAGTTTTATTCCTCATTAAATCACCCATTTGTCATTTTAGCGCTTTCTGGATTGTATATTTGGACCAAACCTGTTGCTGGCACTTGCATCCCATACATGAGTCTGTGTGCACACCTCAAGGTCCTCATGGATGAAACCAGTTGGGTGATGTGTTCTGGGAGAACAATGGCTGCTGTTCTCCAGCCATTAGTGGGCAGGTGCTCCGGGGCGAAAGAATGGTAAGAAGACTTTTCCTGTAGCTGGCAGCATCTTGACAAAATCTAGAAAGGTGGTAGGAAACAACTGAATCCGGACAAAGCCATGGAGCTTCTACGGGCACCTGTGTTTTCTGCCTTTTAAAATTTGCTGTCATCAATTATGTACCGCAGGAAGAGGAAAATAGATGCCCAGCTTTTTATTGAAAGAAAAGGAATGCTTTGTGGTTTGTCAACCCTTCATCATGATTTTGACCACTTTAGAAGACCTATACCATCCTCTAAGGGCCAAGTCAAAAATCATCACAACTAATTGTACGTGATGAGGCTTTTAAGTGCACATTTGAACACGACATAATTTTTAAAATCCTGAGTACTTAGAAGATCCTGTTGACTTGAAGTCAGAGAAAGGTCAGGCCCTTAATTTGCCCTTTGTGTCAATAGGTAGTATGGTGAAAAACTGAAATACAGGTACTGAATGCAAAGCCACAGATGGTTTTAGACATCTAACTCCCATAAACTATTTCAGCAATAATCAGGTATCTAAACAGCTTTGAGGATTTTGACTATAGAAACCTTATATTATTGTCAGTGCCAGCTGTCAAAATGATTTTTACAATGTTAAGTGGGAAGTAGCTAGTAGCCAGCAGCAGTAGGTGGGGGAAAAGTGCTCACAGGCAAGGAATCCAGGGGACCATCAGAATTATGGAAGGAAATGCATGCTAGGATGGGAGCTGGCCTTTGATATATGTGCCACCTATGTAAATGCCAAAGGATCTGCAGTGTTAGTGTTGGGTTTTCTGTCTGTTTGCATACCTGCTTATACTGCCTTTGAAACAGTAAGGCTGACCAGCAGTTTCCCATATTTTAGTAGTGCCCAAGTGATTTATACCAGCTGAGGAATCAAACACAAAGTTGTTCCATGGAAAACCATTTGTCAGGTGCTCTGTAAAATTAGGATTTTGAAGCTTTTTTTTAATGCAGTTTTGGGTCATGTTTATTTTGCACAAACTGACTTGCCGCTTTTTGAGTTAGCGTTTATAACCTTAAGGCCAAATGTACAATGCTATATTGGATGGATATAAAAGGTGTAACTAATCAAACGTGGCATTGTGTTGTGTGCTGGAGAAATGTTTTTAGTGCTTAAGGTCAAACACACTTATGGGTTTTTTTTCATGTGAATTGGCTGAACAGTATGAATTATAAATTTAGGCTTTAAACATTTATTCTGTTAAGTGGTTAAAATGAGAGCAGTTAGAGCAAATACAGTTATATTCACCTTAGAGCGTATTTATTATTCCAGTGTTCTAAGAAACTGAGAAAACTAACCAAAAAAAAAAGTGTTTCAGCTGTTGTGTGTGTAGTACAAATACTGTAATTACAGAAAAGAGGTTGGCATTGCTCTGATTGCTTAAAGAAAAATTGAGACAATATTTGATTAAATGACTGAGAGAAAATAAATAACATTTCAGAATTTATGCAGTTAGGATGAAGAATTTATTGTATATACAGTTAAGCAACTCTACTGAAGATGTACTTCCTCTTTAAAGAAAATGAGTACAGTAATCAAAATAGTTCTAGCATGGAAACTACAATACAGACTGAAACTTGGCTAAACCAGAAATTAGTTATATTTGACTTGAAAGAACACAGAACCTGAAACAACAAACCGCAGGTTGCATCATTAACCAAGGACAGTAAAAAACTGTACAGTACAAGCAACACGTTACAATAAGTTATGACCAATAAGGCAGTCTTTCTCATTTAGGACAAAAGGGATAAAGGGAAAGGTATTAAAATCTCATAAATCCACCATATTTCTTTTCCATCTCTGGGACCTCTTTGGAATAAGTTTCCCCATCTTCTTCTGAAGGGAGAAAGGAGTCGGCGAAGCGCTTAAGAAACCCACCATACCTTTTCTGGTAATCCAGCCACCATTCTGGCCTGCCCACTCTTCTCATGAAACCACCATATCTCTTTTGCAGCTCTTTGGCTTCATCTTCCAATTCGGGGCTGCGCTTTATGCTTCTCATGAAGCCTCCATATCTTTTGCTGATGTCCCCGTCTTTTTCATTTATCTCTCGGTAATGCCCCGCTTCAGGGTTATCCCCTGTTCCTAAAAGCTCCTTCAGCAGATCAGAGGAATTAGCAAGGGCATCATCATCCGAGTCTTTCTTCATAAACCCTCCATACCTCTTAGCCAGGATTTCTCCTTCGTTAGCTTCATCCTCCGGTTCTACCCGATAGAGCTCATCCATTTTCTTCATGAACCCCCCATATCTTTTCATGAAGCCTCCGTACTTCTTCGCAAGCAAATGGTTCTCATCCAGCTCTTTCTTGTCTCCTGGAGCGATGCTGCCATCCTCAGAAAGATCCAGCTTTGCCAGTTGCAGGAGCTCCTTGCAGGCATCCCAGGCTTTGGCAGAAGGCAGCTTTCCTTCACATTCTAGCGTACATGCCTGAAAAACGGATGCGGTTTACTGAGAACGATTGGATAGTAACAAGCACCTCACTGCCACCTTGTCTTAGTTTTATTTGTTTTTAAAAGTGAGTGAGCCTCTCCTTGTGAGTGGCTTGGAAGGACTGCTCTTCATGAACAGCGGATTTGGTACCTGTCTGTTATGAAATTCTCCTTATCTCTCTCGGAAGAACATAGTAGTCTCCATTCTAAGAGACAGAACATTGGAGAAGATGGATCGTGGATCCTGTACGTCAAGGCTGTTTCAAAGGATGCCACACGTACAGTTCCTGCACCTCACACTTGGGCGCGTTATGATAATTTTTGTGTTTACTAATGGTAAGCTAAAAACTGATAGTGGTTTGCCTCATCATGAAAGTGTAGAAGAGGATTCAGTCTTAAGTAAAAGTAGCATTCAGAGATTTTAGGAAATAAAATACTTAAATACTTAAATAAAATACTTAGCACAAATGTCAGTGTTGTTGCAATGAAGCCAGCTGTACTGTGCTGCTTGGTACCTTCAATACACTGCACAGCGCTAAAGCCACATTTCTGCCTATTGTCATTAGTTGCTCTTTGTGGAACAGATCTTTCAAATGTGTACCTATACAAACGTAGAAATACACGCTCCCTCATACAGGATCAAAGTTCTGGTTTTGCTAGTTTGACATACAAAGTAGTGATCATCAAAAAGAGGGAAAAAATCCTAAGCTGTGTTGCTTCTGACTTTAATGAAAAATTTCCAGGCTAAGACATAAAAATAAGTTTTTAGTACCTGTATGCATACCTCGTAACCTGTCATGTACAGACCATTACATACGTATTAGCTTCTACTGTCTCTGTTGTGTCAGGGGAATTTCCATCTTGTGAAGCCATGCTTCAGTTGCAAAAAAGGTGATTTTGGTATTTGCCTTCTTGTCCATGGTTTTCTTACCACAATAATTAAAGAAGAAATCATCAATATTTTCAGTAAGAAAAACATTTCTTCTGCCTATGGATGATGTTTTCTCAGGATCTCAATATGATTTAAAAGCGTGAAATTAAACCCTAGTAGAGTTTTGTCTATTAGATAACTGACCAGCTCTCTACCTTTGCCCTTACTGTCTGTTGATCCCCATTTTAGTCTGAGAAATTTATGTATGGTTTTGATACGACCACAAGTAAATTAAAGGCGTTTATGTACTCTGCAATATTTATTTATTTATTTTAACTGGCACTACCTGCTTGTTGTTATATATTATAGTTATGCTGTAAAAAGAACGGCATTTCAGCTTCAATCTGCCTTTGAAGTTGCTCTAAATCAAAGCAAGAATAGGTCTTTACCCTCCTTTTCCTTTCTCAATTAGTTTAAATAACCACCCATGGCCAAATTAACAGACGCTATTTAATAGGTGCGAATGATGAGGTACAGTGGGATAAATCTTGTCTCTTACAGCTACAATGTGATAAAATCAGTTATGACGTTACTAGATCCAACATCCACAAATATTTGTTTCTAAAAGCACATGGATAAGGTGTTTATGGTGGAGCACATTGCCTCATTTCCCATTTCAACTAGTAAGTGTTGTTATGGAATGGGACTTGGATCCTTTCTTGAATAACTACTGAAGGTGTACAAGAGAGAATATCAGTATAGACACCCACAACGTATGCTCTCAAAAGCAAAGTACCACTTTTTTTCCCTAGTTGACATTAAATTTTAGTTGAAAGCTCATGTAAGCAAAAGTATAGGGAACTGTTTTGCCAGCCATCCTGTGAACATTGCCCTTAGGAACCTGCGGTGGCTGAGTGAGCCCTTGCTTGCGGAGTAAGCAGAAGCAGTCAGTGATTCCCAATTCCGCGTAATAGGGTGCTTTTGTGTGCTCCCAAATAATCGATGGCATCATAGGAACAAAACGTCTTGGATCACTTAGACGTGCCAAGAGCATGATGCCTCAATATGCGTCAATTTGAGTTCAGGAACCGCAGGAGCCACTGGCAGCCAGAGTTCCCACCTTCCCCAGGGAGGGCTGACGGACTCCGGGCTGTCACTGACCCCGATCCTTCCATTTCAAGTCGAGTTGCCTCTGTGACTGTATTTTTAAGTAACTTCAATATCATTAAAATTACAGATTTAAGAGAACCCCGTGGTATTCTGGAGGTTTTTCCCAGGAGACACTGTCTTTTCCCAGCGCCGCGCAGCACGGTGCAGGGAGGAAGAGCAGTGGGAGGCACCGAGCTTGCACCCCACTTTTTGCGAGATTCAGCCAAGTTTTCAGGCAGATGGGCCGCTTTTCGGCTCGACAGCCATCCTGCC